TTGTCTAACTTACAGACCTTATTTTCTTATCCATAGATCACAAACCCTTTCAATTTTTCCATATAGATTTCTTCTTCTAAGTCACCATTTAAAAAAATCTATTTTAACATCTATTTGGTGTACTATTAAGTTATAAATAGAAGTTATTGAAATAAGTACCCTAATAGATGTAATTCTAGTGACAGGAGAAAAGGTGTCAAAGAAATCTATATTTTCTCTTTATCTAAAACCCTTGGCAACAAGGAGAGCCTTATATTTATCAATAGTTCCATCGGTTTTTAGTTTCTTTTTCAAAACTCATTTACAACTAATTGGTTTGCAACCAGGAGGCAACTCTGCTAAGTGTCAGGTCTTGTTAGGTTCTAGAGATTTTATCTCAGATGACAAGGCTTCTTGAAGATTCATTGGATCTTCCTCTATATTATAAGTCGCATAATCGGGCCCATAGTCTTTAGCAACTCTTACTCATTTACTACGTCGAAGTCCTATTTCTACATTATCGTTGCTTTATGTGCTTCTTATCACAGGAATGTGACTCGATTGTGTGCCCCCACTATTTCTCAATCTGAAAGGAAATTTGTCTTCATAGAATTCAGCATCAATTAATTCTATGATCACTTTTGCATTTAGTTCATAAAAATTATATACTTTATTGTTTGTTGCATACCCAATGAATACACATTCATATGCTCTACTAGCGAGTTTAACTCGTTTCAGATGTGGAATTCTGACATAAGCCAGACAGCCCCAAGTTCTCAAATAAGACAAGTTTGGTTGTCTTTTCTTTAATATCTCAAAAGGAGATATCTTACATTTTGACTTGGGGACTCTATTCAGGACATAGCAAACAGTCAATAAAATTTCCCCCCACCAGTGAGGTGCAGCACCATAATTCATCATAATTGCAACAACAAGTTCAGTAAGAGTTATATTCTTTCTTTCTGCTTTACCATTCATTTCAGGAGAATATGGAGCAGTTGTTTCATGTACAATTCCATGTTCTTTATAAAAATCATTAAATCAACCAGAATCATATGCAGTTCCCCTATCACTACGAAATCTCTTAATCTTCTTACTAAGTTGATTCTCAATTTCATTTACATACAACTTAAACATATCAATCGCTTTACTTCTATTCTTCATTAAGTATACATAAGTATAATCAGAACAATCATCAATAAAAGTGATAAAATAACATTTACTGTTTCTATTTAAAGTTCCATCTAACTAACATATATCAGAGTGTATAAAATCTAGGGGATCAAATTCTTTAATAATTGATTTATGTGAGATCTTAGTTATTTTATCTTGACTACAATATTCACATTTATTTGAATCATTGACATTTAATTTAGAGATCAGACCTAAGTTGCTTGCATTATACATAATTCGCTTATTAACGGTGACAAAGTCTAGCATGCCAAATATTGAAATCACACAAAAAGTAAACAGGAGGAAATTTTTTATTCAAATCAACATTCAACTTAAATATGCCATCAGTGGCGTACCCTTTCCCAACAAAAATATCATTCTTAGTGATGGTGTACAAATTTGCCCCTATAGTTTAACTAAACCCGACCTTATTTAAAAGAAAACCAGAAACAAGATTCTTCTTAATTTCAGAAACGTGCATGATGTCCTTCAAGATCAAAGTCTTTTATGAGGTGAACTTCAGCTCAACATCTCCAATTCCAGTAACATTAGTGGTGTGAGCATCTCCCATTAACACTAGTATTCATGTATGTCTTGAACATAGCACGATCATAACAGACATGACGAGAGGTGCCAGTGTCTGCCCACCAACCATCACTTCCACCAGCCATGTTGACTTCAGTGATCATAGCAATGAATTGCTCATCAGTCAGGTTAACCTGTGCATTTGAGCCAGTAGCATATTTAGGCTTGCTCTTACATTTCTTATCCACATGATCCGATTTCCCACAATTGTAGCAAGTGAAAACTGAAGCATCATTTCTCTGAGGTGGTGGTTGTTGCCTTACAATTGGAGCATATGGAACCCTAGAGGGACTCCCATTCTTAATTCGGTTCACAATATTGTAGTTCTGATTCTTTAAAGATCTTCATGTAGGCTTCAGAACCGCGCCAAATTTCTTTTTGTTGTTTGAAACAACTAAGACTTCATCTTTTTGATCTTGTCTTTGAACTTCCTCTTTAATTTGGAGGTGAGTAATCAAACTCTCGATTGAAAATTTTTAAGTTTTATGTCGAAGCAAATTTTTGAAATCTTTCCAACCAGGGGGGCAGCTTGTCAATTATAACAGCAATCTAAAATTGTCCATCAAGGGCATACCTTCAATTATGATTTCATGAGCAATTTTCTGAATTTCGTGGCTTTGAGCTTCCACAGACCTTTCATCCACCATTTTGTAATTCAAGTAGCGGCTGACAGCATATTTCTTTGCACCTGCTTCTTCAGTATCATATTTCTTCTGTGGAGCCTCCCATACATGTTTAGCAGTCTTGTAATTACTATAGTAATCGTACAGATCATCAGTAAGACTGTTCAAAATGTGATTTTTGCATAGGTAGTCATTCTCTTTCCATAGAGAAATTTCTTTTCTGAGCTGTAAGTTATCTGCCGCAGCTTTAGCTTTTGCAGCAGAGTCTAAGTCAAACATTTTTAAAGTCCCAACTAATTCCATAATTGTCTTACCATTATTTAGTTCATTTGATCCAGAAGGAGCAATAGGGATATCCTTAGTCAGAACGTGAGCTACCTTCTTTAAAGCTAAAAAAAATTCATCTTAGCTTGCCAACATTTGAAATTGGAACCCTCAAACTTAAATGGTTTGCCAGAGACAGAAGCGGCCGCAGTAGTACCGATAATTTCCTCAGTAGTCATGGCAGTTAAGAAAACGTCTTAAAATTGTTGTTTCCGATTTTGAAAACATGCCACAAAGAAAATTATCGGGACGAGTCGCGTACTAGACCGCTTTCTTTAAGACGTTTCGTCGTACTGTCAATAGTTATGCAAAGCAGTCGAGTTTCAGCGACGTTTCCAGGATAAAACAGTCCATTCAGAATTATGATTATTACTTGTACTGTAATAAATTGTTCGAAGAATTACACCTTCAGATGGTATAAAACCAGTCGTAGTATCTGAAATTTTCCAGTCGTTGATGGCACAGTAAGCTAATCGAAAACAAAAAAGAAAATTTTGTAGATGAAGCGGAGTAGAGAGAGAAGAGAGAAGAGAGAATTTGAATTGTGAATTCTTGAGTGAATTGCAAGTGAACTGGAGAATATTTATAGGCAAAGGATTATGGAGTGAATTATGGAGTTAAGACTTGATTTCTGTGCAAGACACAAATTAATTCATCTAGATCGACCGGACAGAGCCGAGCTGGCCGGAGGACGGCGGCGCACGTGTGTGTGTCTAGATGGCTTATGGGTGTGTCCTCACTCCTTTATAAAATTGGGGTGCCCCTTGAGACCTAACCCAATTGGCCAAGTTGGAATATATATATACACTACTAATATTTGTATTCCCTCTTATGTGGTTATGTGGGACTAAAATGAATCTTTTCAATTCACTTCCATGCTAGTCTTTACTTGTGCTCATTTATTGTCTATTTAATGTCAATAAATTATTTCAACTCCCACTCTAAATTAACATCGTACCAAGATTTCCAACAAAGATCTATAAATCAACTGCATTAAGACTCGTGTTTTATATTGTGATAACCAAAGTGCATTGCATATTACAGCCAACTCTAATTTCTATGAAAGAATTAAGTATTTAAAAAATGATTTCTAGTTTTTGAGAAAAACAAGTTGCATGGATAATGAATAATGAAGTAGTAATAGATAAAAACAATGCAATTAATTAGTTACAAAATAGTTAGAAGTTAGTTACTATTATTGTTTGTTATAGAAGCTAGTATATTGTAGAGCAAGGTCTATAGTAGCGTATTTTGCAAGCTAAGTTCAACTATATATTCAAACCAATGCAATCAAGTTTATTCAATGAGAAATGAAATATTTGAATACTCAATTAGCAGTTCATATACCAAAACCATTTTAAAAAAATACCTAAGCAAGAGAAAGTGTTGTCCTTTATTGTAGTCCTCTCTTATTCGAAAAATTAATCCCACGCACATTGAATCTCAGAATTTGAACTCTGATGATGACGTACAATCTAACAATATCGATTTAGGATTTGCGGTCAAAATAGTTTTAATTTTGCACTGTAATTATAATAATCTCCACGAAGCAAAAATCAATTATTATGAACATGAACAACTCTGAAGACAGATTCTCACACTCACATGTTATCTCCATTTTCAATTAATGCACACCTTGCATGCCTTTGAATCTACACAATAATTTGGCCATTTCTGCAACTTGATATTACTTATATATATTTAATAATAAAACTATATGATTAATCACATAGTTATTGTAGCAGCATGAAAAGCCACATTCTTTTGTTTGGTTTAGTTCAAACTTGAAACCCTCTTTCTTTTGCATGGATATTCTTCACTGAAGAAGGTAAAGTTAGGAGGGAACAGTTTCAAACGTTGTTATAATTAGTTAATGTTTAAACTTCAAATTCAAATCTAACACATGAAAAAGTAACAACATTAGAATAAAGATGTTTGGGACCGTTGCTGCTTTTTTTACCAACAGTTAGTTTTGAAGTTTTAAATTTCAGTTGGTTTCAATTTCAATATCAGAAAGTTGTCTAGTTTTTGCTTTTTTCTTTCACAGTTCACAACCCTTTACTGCGTTTTTCTTAGTCTCAGTAGAAGCAACATTGTTTTAAGAGCTTTTGCTTTTTCATTTTGTGGAAGAGTAGAACATTCAAATTTTCTGCTTTTTCTTTTTAATCTCCTTTTTTGTACCTTTTGTTTTCTATATCTATAGTTTGATTTTCAATTACAATTGCATAGTTTAAGCTGTGAGAAAGTTTAACCCTTCATGTTTATATATGTGTAGGTGTTGAGAAAATTCATTGATCGACGTATTCTTGAACTAAGATGGAGAAATCATTCACCTTTGGTGAAAATTCTGATGCGGATTATCATCCTTCACGAATGAGTGGTGAGTCTTTTGGATACTGCCGCGTTTGGACAAGCTCGGACGCATCGAATTCAAATTTCTCTGACTCTGTAGATGATAGCAGCTATGCCAGTGAGGCTTCTCCTTTTCCTTCGCCTTCGCCTTCTCGGTGGAGGGATGTTAAACCTGGTCCCTCTAGGCTAGGAATGAAGTTGCGCAAGCATTCGGTCGATGATAAACTCGATGACAATGATCTTTTGGATTCAGGTTTGTTTGCATAGTTACTTATGAAGTTTTGAATGTGCGATTCTATGTAGAAAATAATGAAACTTAATTTTGTTTACATTATCAGGTGAGGTTGAAATGATGAAGGAAAGATTCGCGAAGCTTCTGCTAGGAGAAGATATGTCTGGTGGAGGAAAAGGTGTTAGCACAGCAGTTACAATCTCAAATGCCATTACCAACCTCTATGGTTTGTAACATTATCCATATCAAAATGCTATTAGTTTGTCAAATTATTCGTAATCGAACTTGTTTGAATTTGAATTTCTACAGCAACGGTATTCGGACAGAGTTTAAAGTTGGAGCCGTTGAATCCTGAGAAGAAAGGCATGTGGAAAAGAGAAATGAAGGTTCTCCTATCAGTGTGTGATTACATACAAGAATTCGCCCCAACTGCGCAATATTTAGAAGATGGCACAATTGTGGAGGTGAGATTTGTATATCAGATGTTATTATGTTAGTATTTTCTCTTTCACCCGGTTTGAACCCTGGTCCTTTACATCGATGAAACTTGTTTTGTTTGTTATCTCTGATATCAGATGATGAAAAGTAGACCGAGGTCAGATATCTATGTAAACCTCCCTGCACTGCAGAAGCTTGACACAATGCTTATAGTAAGAAACACCGCAATCTTGCAAGTAAGAACTCGGTTTTTCATCAAGTTCTTGTGGCTGATAAACATGAAAATTTTGTTTGCAGGAAATATTAGAATCTTTTGAGGATACTGAGTTCTGGTACGCAGAGAATATATCAGCAACTTCACCTCGTTTGCGCGCAGCCTCTTTTCGAAAGATTGTTCCAAGGAAAGACGAGAAATGGTGGTTGCCAGTTCCTTGTGTTCTCCCTGGTGGTCTCTCTGAGAAGTCAAGGAAACATCTTACAGAGAAAAGGGACTGTGCTAATCAAATTCATAAAGCTGCAATGGCAATAAACAGCAATATTCTCGCGGAAATAGATATTCCAGAAACATATATCGATGATCTTCCAAAGGTTAGTCCTCATTGTTGAAACTTAAAGATCACTTTTGTTTCAGAAAGTCTCAGTCTGAAATTTTTTGTTGAAATCTTAGAATAAGTCTGCATTTCTTTTTTCCAGCTGAAATTCTATTGCCATGAGATTGAGGATTCCTTTAAATGCGACCCTATAAGGCAAATGTCTTGGAATTTATCATCAAATTTGATGAGCTTTTTATGGAAGCCAATAATAGCAGCTGAGTCTTGTAGAAATCGGGACGATATAAATTCATACAAGGTACTAGTAGCATGCAACTTCGATGAGACGCATTAATCTTATTGTTTATTCCCTTGAAGTTAGTTATAAAAATTCAAGACTGATAATAAAGTTAATGCATGAGAAGAACTGTTTTCATGCTACTAGTACATATTTTTATTAAAAAATGTCTGAAATTTAATCTTATTTTTCTCTTTTTTCAAACATTGATTTCTTCAGAGCGGAAGAGGGAGTCTAGGGGACACGATATACCACTATATGAATACCGCAGACATGTTCTCACCTGATCGCCTTCTTGACTGTCTGAAAATAAGCTCTGAACATGAAGCACTTGATCTAGCAGACAGGGTTGAATCGTCGATGTATACATGGAGACGTAAAGCTTGTCTTAGCCATTCAAAGTCGTCATGGAAAGAAGTAAAAGATCTCATGGATGAAACAGATTTGGAAGACAAAAACTTTAGTTTAGCAGATAGAGCTGAAGCTTTGTTGTTTTGCCTCAAGCAAAGATATCCTGAACTTTCACAAACTTCTTTGGATGCATGCAAGATCCAGTACAATCGGGTAAGTTTCGGTTTCGACATCTATGATGTCATATGTTGTGTCAAATATTGAAAAATAGCACAAGAATAAGATATATTTGTTCTGATAGATGCTCTATCCTCATGGAAGAGGTCAAGATATATTCAAATTAATCCTTATAAGGCTTAACCAAAACATAAATTATAGTTTAAGATTGGTGTCCATTCATTGTAAAAAGAATAAGTTGAAACTAAACTGAGAGATGTTTAATTTAGCTTATGTACTAATTATCTTTTGCAGGATGTGGGAAAAGCAGTACTAGAAAGCTATTCAAGAGTTTTAGAAGGCCTAGCATTCAATATTGTTGCTTGGATTGAAGATGTTCTCTATGTAGATAAGACTATGACGAATCGAGAAGTCTAGAAACAATCCTTCTCTTTCATTCAACAGTGTTTTGTAAGCTATAGATTTGGGACAAGGTAGACAATTAGTAGCTGGTGTGTGAAAAGATATTCACTTGCTACTGTGTGAAGCTTATTAGTGAACCATATATAGAAGAAAGTTTCAACATTCAGTTGAAATTCAAAGCATAACTTTCAAAAGTTACATTTTCTAAGCTTCAAATTTATTTTATTTTGGGTGTTATGACTAAAACTAGCCAATCAGATTACTTCAAAAACTTAAACTATTTCTTCCCTAGATCCACAAAGACTATATTTTGATAAAATCACAATCACTTTTTGAAAAATATTGTCCAAACACAACTATGTTTATTAGGTAAATGTTACACCTCTTCACATCAATAAAAAGGGCTATATAATTGAATGATTATATAATGCAGCTTATGATGTGCCAATGTGTATTTAAGCCAACTCATCAGTCATCACATCAATAAAAAGGGCTATATAATTCAATGATTATATATAATACAGCTTATGATGTGCCAATGATGTGCCAGTGTATTTAAGCTGACATTAGTCTCTATGGATTTGCAAGTAGATGATTGAATGTTGCTTTTCATGCAGATTCTCCATATGAAAGCATGTATAATTTTGATAATGTGAATATACAAAAAAAAGAAAAAAATTGGTTAGGTGCCTTCATGTGTGCATGTGACTTCCTAAATACAGCTCACATTAAGACATGAATGAGAAAGAAACGGCTAAAAATCACTTGAGATATTTTACTCAATAGATTGAAAATTGAAACAAGTCATCCTATATATACAACGGACCCTTGTACAAGTCCATATTGAGAGGGACGTTGATCAAGAGCTTAGTTAACCCGGCCAGGACCGGCATAGGTTGGAATAGTGACATCATCACCTTCACTTTCCTTTACCAAAAAACTCAACCCTTTCACCTGTTACTCAAAATGAAGTCCCCTCAACTTTCTTACAAGTTCAACACAAGGGCGAGCACAAAATGGCATATTTACGTCTGACGCTTTGGCCAATCATGCATCAAAAATAGATAATGAAACAACAAATACACCTGCTGAGGGGTTTGCTTTGAATACTCCAAAACCAATCAAAAATCTTGTTAATCAACTATCCTCATCCAGAGCACCAACATAAGTAAGGTCGGTCCTTCTCACCCTTACAGCCCCTTTAAGCCAGCTGGTGGCACGAATATTAACACAGTCGCCACCTCCAACATTGCTTGCAGAAGGGCAAGACCCAGCACCATCCTCTAAAAGTGTCCAAGGGTCAAATTCAAAATCATTGTCCTGTTGTTTTGATTTCCCTGATGCTGCAGTCCTTGATAGTGGAACTGGGCTCCTCTGAGGTGTAGTCAAACTGCTGGGATTAAACCCAGAATTTTTAATGCTGGGTTGAAGAGATACAATGGACGAATTTGGAACAGATGGCGGCTGGCAAGAGAAAGAGCGCCACGGAGAGGGAGGGAGCACAGGCATTGCAGCTTGGATACGCCACCGGATAGAGTCTGGCAGTTGCATGGAGTCTAAGTGATTCTGCATTAGACAATAGACCATCAGAAAGAAGGAAAAAAAACTAAATAGCATGTATGCTCCCATCTAGAAGCTATATGAACAAGAAAAAATCATATCAAACTTAGTAGCTATATGAATCAATCACAGAAACTAGAAGCTAGGCACTTATAGGCTAGAAAACCAAACCTGCAAAGACTCCAACAACTCTCGATCAAATCCAGAAACCTTTCGTGTCGGTTCATTAGTTGTCTTTGAAACAGGTTTCAACCTAAGCCAGCTTGGAGGACTACTACTCAACAAACCATGCAAAATCAACAACATTCGATCAAAAAGGCCCTCAACAGAAGAATCTACAAAAGCAGCACAAGCAACTTCTGAAGGTGACTCCACATCCCCTTTTGACAGAGAAGAGTGTGTGACATTAACCAAAACGTTTGCATCCTCAAGCACGATTTGACTACCAAGTAGTCGAAGAATTACAGAGGCAAGTGTGTGTCTCATGTTCCGCACAGAGGGCTCCCTGCAAAATTGCATCTAGTTAAACTGTCTATCTACAGCCTAAATTGGATAAGCTAATGTGGCCAGAAGTTAGTCACTTTACAGCCCCAAAGTTTATTCATGAAATAATTTTGAAATAAAAAACAAAGTAATGAGTTATCATCATCAATATGTGCTCCAAGAAAAAACCCATACTATTTATCCAGATGAAATAGATAACTTTGATGCAACAACATCCAAGGAAGAAGAAAATATTAACACAGGGCCTAGCAAAGCCATTTGAAGAATAGAAAAATTGTCATAATTACCCGTCTGTATAAAGAATAGGAAGGAATCTCATGATTAACTGGATACGCAATGACATTGAGGCTCGTAGAGCTGCAGGAGAAGGTGGAGAAGAATCTGTTGAAGATGTTAGTCGTCTGGCTAATCCAGGGCTACCACCTTTCATAGTTTTGCGGGCATTTACTTTATTTGTCGGACTTTCAGTCACAGGCATACTTGCTGCTGGCTTGCCTGGACCACGAGTAACAGCGGCTATTTGTTGCTCAATATAACTTAATTGTTTGATCAAATCACTTGCGAACGAATAACGAGATTCATCGGAGCTTTGATCTATGCATGGAAGAATTAATTCAACAAAAGCCCTCTCAGTCCCATGTAGCTGCTTAATGGCTGAGCCTTCCGAGTCAAACACTTGAGAGAACCCTTTTAGGGGCCTTTTGACATCCACTCCTTCTCCAACTTCTCCTTCTTCAAGAGACAGAGAATCAACTTTCCTTTTATCCCTCTTTGAAGTTATTAGATCAGTACATGGGCTAAACGAACCCCATGGCTTTGAAAACTGAGGCTTAACAGATAATCCTTTGGTCTCTGCAATGTTAATTAGTCGTTGCCTAATGGTCTTTCGACCAAAGAGGACATCTGGACCTCCAAGGAACCATTTAGCCTGCAACAACATAGAATCCTCCAGCGACTTCCCAAAAAGATGAACCAACTCCGAGAAAAGAGGTGCAGCATCAGGTCTAACAAGTAACCTTGTGAGAATTATTTGAATAAAATTGTTCTCATTCTCAGAAGCAGTAGTCTTCTCAGAACTCGGTGAAGACAACTTTATAGCATTAGCCAATGATATATCGTGTGTCTGCAGTTTTTCAATGAGAGCCAGTTCATTCAAAAGCAGCCTGAGTTCAACCCATTGCCAGTGGAATGTGGCGGGTTGCAGAGCCTCTAAGACATCTACAAGCTTTTCCTGCAGCTTAGACTCACTGTCAGTAAAATGAATGTTTGATTCACCATGCCCAGAAATCCGGCTTCCACCATCCTTTGTATAAATAGACTCCGGCATCTTACAATCAACCATGGCATTTAAGAAAAGCCTAGCACGAAGTGGAACAAATGCATTGGAATTTAAACGCATATCAGAGCCATTCAACTCTAGCAAGGTTGCAAATTCCAAATCACTCATATCTGCAGCCATTAGATCATAAAGACCCTGAGAATCTCTTAAACATACATCTCGAAAAGGCAAATGTTTTAATGCATCATTTATGGCCATTGTTAGAGTCTGACAAAGTTGATTTGTGTCTTCACGTATGGCTACACTAGCGTTCATAATAAAAGGTCGCCACATTACAAAGGAAAATATTGAATAGGCAGGCGGAAAAACCAAACTTAGAGGAAGCATACGCTGCATTCTGGAAAGAGCTACAATGGATGGTTCACTCAAGAGATCCACAACTAAGCCTTCACAGATGGTTCTGCAGTTTCCAACAAGTAATCTAAACCAATGGAGATGTACTTCAACTGAACTGTCCACCTTAATAGCCCCAACTGAACGTGCATTTCCATTTGAATTGGATCTCAAGCTTCGCACGTATTGAACTACATCCAGGCCCTCCTTTAACCTGAGAATGGTTACCATTCTCTCCAGGCTGGTGACACCGTATATAATTGCACCAACAATAAGTGCAGAAACAGAAGCAGCAATTTTTGTTGTTCTGGCGAGCACGATTTTACTGGAGCTATTTACATCGTTTGGCGTAGTTGCACTAGTATCATAGGTTTCAGGTGACATTTGAAACTGAATTCTAGATGCTTTACTTGGAGCAAAAACTCCAGCAAGAGCATTAGAAGCTTCTGTTGCAAGAGCAATATCAAATACACAGCTCTGACGCTCTCCCAAGGCTTCCTTAAGCAAACACAAACATGTTATATGCATTCGCAGAATGCATTTAGCATAGTTCAATGAACTTGTTGCCAGTGATATATTTGGATGATTATTGCCAGCGGAAAAATCGGGTAATTTTGCTAAAGATGGGCCAACACTGCCAACTATGGCAGAAACAGCAGAAGTGACCAAAGAGGGATCTCCTTCTTGGGCAGCACCACCAGTCTGCCTAATGCAATCCATCAGGCTTATAACTATTTGTTGAGCAATTTGATATCCATTATCCCATTTTTCTAAAGAAGGACCTTTTGGTGTTCCAGCAGCAAAAAGCTTTCTGTCTTTTCCAAAAAGACAGTGAAAGGCATCTTCCACATTACGATGTACAACATCTCTCATGCCTGAACCTACCCTGGACAGTAACCGACCACCACTTATCTTTTGACGGAAATAATCATCGGGGTCCTCAACTCCTGAAGGAACACCAAGGGGAAGCCCAAACTCTCCATCAACTAATCGTCCTCCAGACTCAAGTTCAGAAGAAAGTCTCTTATCAAATGTGGTTTTGAAATTTTTCTCCCACTCAATGACACTGACCACATTGCTATATTTTTTCAACAAATAACGGGCAAAAGCAAGAGCACCTGAACCTGAAACCCGACCATTAGATGTTATAATAGCTGCAGCCCGATGCATTATAGATGACAGAGCATCAGGAATAAGATCTGCGGTAGCAAGAATGTTCTCATACCTGCATCAAATTACAATGTTAGACAAAGACAAGTTAAACAATTCAAAAATCCATTAAAAACAACTGTGAACATTAGCATAAAAATGAAGAGTAAAGAATACTTGTAAAGCACTTTTTCAGATGTTAAACATTATAAAAAGAAAAGCGGGGAATAAATTGGGAACACATACAAAGTCATGACAAAACTACAAACTAGCAACCGACCCTTATAAGTTATAACAAGACAGAATGATTCATGTTATCAACCATTATACAAGAGATTTCTAGTTGGGCAAGCCTGAATATTTGAGAGGCAAAGAAACAAACGCTAATTGAATAGAAGGGAAAGTAAGAGGAAGGGCACGTGAACTCATCAAAGAAACAAAATAGCAAATTTTGGCTGTGACTGCCAATAAATCTACATAAACAAAGTTGAGTATAAACCTTCTCAGTGATGAGAGCAGAAAAGCCTCCCCAACATTACAAACTTGGTTATCCACATTCCTTGGCAACATTAAAATATTTCTTCCACTATGAATTGTAGAACTTGGGCTACTGCAAACCTTTGGTAGTAACCACATGATGAATTTGATAGCTGGTACTAAATCATCCGAGACATCCATCAGATAAAGTATAGCAGAAAGTTCATCTTCCCCGAGTTTCCACCTTATTGAACTTCTATCATCAACAGTGGTTATAGGCCTGCCAAACTGACCAACTTTACCAATACTTTTTTCAGTGTCTCCAATAAGCTGCCTAATTGAAGTCATCAGCCAAACAGTTATTTCCTTTTTATCAACAAATCGAAGGCGTTTTAGTGCTTTTCCTGTTGAAACAATATCTTCACATTGACCAGTTCGGATTCCATCAACAGACTTTGTCGTATCTCCATCCATAGCATTTCTATGGTGAGGGCAACTTACCTTATTTTCACACACATGACTTGTTGATGCCCCTTGGCTACCTTCGATTCTAGAAGCAGCCAGTTGAGCGAGACTTTGGGTTTTACGCACAGTCTTTTGCCGACTCTTAGCAACCTGCTTAGTTGCCTTAAGTGGTTGGTCAACTTTGAGAGGCTCTGGAGATTTTAGCCCCTTTTTCACCCACCATGTGTCTTCATCATGGGGTAAAACTGGAAACTGAGCTTGAACAAACGAACTTCTTTCCTCACTTAATTTTTGTTTCTTTGTTCTTTTACATTCTTCACATCCAGGTGTAGCCTCCATGAGATCAATCTTGCTGCGAAATTCAATAGGTCTTTTGACACTGCTTTGAGATTCACCCAATCCAGTAGTGCTCGAATTAGATAAACTGTTTGGCAGCTGTAACAATACTGATATGGCTGTCTTCAGGTCTTCAACACTAGTGTCATCCTTCTTAACTTTATAAGATATTTTGTTTGAAGGAAGCTGATTGATTGATACTGTAGAAGATTCATCTGTTGTTGAAAATGTAGAACGTTTTTGATTTACAGAAGGATTATTGGCACAGTCGACATTGCCATGGTTCTCATTAAAGGAACCACGAAGTATGAGGCGTCGCTCGTTCAAGTAAACAGGTAAGACTTCAATAAGCAGTGGTCCTTCAATAATCCCTGATTCTTCTAAAGCATGACGAATGAAGTTTCCAGGAAGCTGCTTCAAGATTCGAGAATGTCTCTTTTGTCTCTCAAGATCAACCATATTTCCACTTGTATCCATGATCCCACTCACTATCAGCTGACGTACATAAGCCAAAGGGTAAAAGATGCCTGCACGAATGAGTTCCACTATAAAGATATGCAAGCGCTTGAGGCCTTCTCCTTTATGCACCACATGCTGATCAATCCAGCAAACTATGATATCATGTAGAGGACCTGGACTTTCAAATGCAACTGAACAGGTCCTCTGATTCATACTTTTTGAGCTAGATTTTATTCCGGACCCATTGTTCCAATTATTTTGCTGACCTGAACATTTTGCTAAATAACTGACTCCATGATTAGTGGCTTCGTTCTTTTGTCTTGTATGCATATTCCTCAGCTTCATCTTTAGGAGTCTAACTGCTATATGCACTTGGGAAATATCTTTCTTGCCCGTGAGCTTTATTTCACAAGGAGGAGCAGTCCGAAAATTCCTAAAATCACATGTTGCCCATTCACAAAGGAAAAACACTGAATAAATAAGTGATGTATTTACATTCACAAACCACTTCAAGGATAACTTTAAACAAGGGCTAACTTTTGCAACCCAACCGTCCGATGTAGGTCTATCATATAGATCTTCAAAAAGAAGTTTGTATGTTCCATGTATATCACCAAGTACAAGAGATTTATCCAAGGCTTGTGCAGCTTTAGCGAGACAATGCTCTGGACAGCCCGGGCTTACAGCCTTTGTGAGATTTTCTGCATGTTTTTGTATGCTCGAAATAACACGGTCAAATGCCAGAGATTCATATTGTGCATCAAGGCCTTTACTTCTAAATATACACGCAACATCTTCTGAACTATTTTTTACCTTTTCTGCAGCTTCAATTGCTTTTGGTACAAAATTGCCATCATTAATTGCATGTGAAACTACAGAGGATGGCAAAGGAAAGCAATCTAAAGCAACAAAAGTTTCTGGAACTGCAACTATTAAATACCGAAGCATCTCAATAAGAGCAGAAGTCGTATATGCCCTCCGAGAATTATCTACTAGATCTGACCCACCTGGAGCAGGATCACGAATAATACGAAGAGCTAGGCCAGCAAGAGTGCGTACATATGTTTGAGACAGAACGACAATTTCTAAAAAGCCATATACAATAGGCAAAAGCAGCTGCCAAATCTCAAGCAATTGCTTTTCCTGAAAGAATCCAGAGATTGAAAAATCAAAACCTGAAGTCTGGAGGATTTTAATCAGTAAAATACATAAAATTATCAGTTTTAGTTCTATGAGCACATAAAACTAGTATTATGCAATTACCTGTAGTTGATGTAAAACCCAGTCAATGACCAGAGAAGGAAGAACCAGTCCTTCAGCATGATGCCACTGCAGAAGCCGAACAACAAACCACCATCTAAAATGTAAAGATGGTTCCTCACCATTAGAAACAGGTAATAACCGGTTACTTCTGTGCTTAAGTGACGTTGTATAGGGCATTTGAGGTGATGGATCTCGATTATGAAGAGTTGAATGAGAAGTATTTTTTGAGAAAAAATCATCCAGAAGAGTTTGCAAGTACTCAATAATATCTTTGGTCCAAAGCTCAGAACAAGACAGCTGTGTTTTGTCATTAGTCCCAGAAGGAACCCTGGCAGAACCAGGACGAACCTGCAAATTCAAACAAAATTTACCTTCAAATATTGGAAAGGAGCGCATTTAGGTAAATTATATAACACTTTGCATGCTTACCAAATTGAGGTAAGTAACCTTTACAAACCAGGTTGCCCTCGACAAAGGAACATTATTCCTAATAAGAATCTCCAAAACTGATTTCCTTCTATATTGAGGAACAAGATCGGCCAAAGAACGCAGTCGCTTGTGCTGTTGAGATAAACCCTGTAAAAACAATTTGAGCTAATAAAAATAATAGTAGCGGAAAAATAACCAAGAACGTAAGCACTGTTGGGTAAGATTTAAGAAAGTATTCAAGGAATTAACATGAACATCAACCTAGACAATAAAATTTAAACCAATCATCATAATATTCTGACAAACAAATAACAAGGAAAGCAATGTATATGGAAAGTTGCAGAAAGAATAAAGCAGAATTAATACCTCAATCCATTTCTTCCGGAAGTCTTCAGAACATGGCCTTTGTTCAGGGAAAACACCAGGTTTTGAAAGTTGTGATTCTGAAAGAGCCACTCCATAGACTTGACCAGCCTGTCAAAGTAAGCACTATCATGTAGGTGAAAAATACCTTAATAACAAAATAGCATAGGAAGCACCCTCTAATCTCAATATAAATAAAACATAAAGTTGTGCATATCTTAGAGGCAGACGTAATGTTCAAAAAAGATAATAAAAATAATCTGTCATCACCTTCCGCTTCTGAACACGAGATTCATTGATGGCCCTTAGTCGTTTTCTAATGGCCTGGAGAGAAGATGAAAGACACGGTTAACCTACAAAGACATGCAATGAATACAAATACCAAATGTAGAGAATTTGCACTAAATTCACGGCATAATTATAGGGAGGGGGGGGGGGGGGGGGGGGAACAGAGCATAAATCTCTCAAAAAGACAATTGAGTCACCTCTTTGCAATTAAGGACAGTTGCCTTGTTAAAATGAGGAATCTGGGTCAGCAATATTTCTCTGGCTTCCTGAAGACAGGTGAAGTAATAACATTATATAATAAACAGCAAACAGTCAGCTCTTAAGGAATAACTGATTGATTTTTAATGAGTCGTCTAGGAAAACCAATCAAGAACACACAATTGCGGAGAGTACAATTTCAACCATCTTGAATCAAAGGTTAACATACTCAAGAACAGAACAGACCAAAAATGAATAATTGAATAAATGCTGTATTGCCATTTTACATCATCTATTTGATATAAACACATAAAATTTAATGATGTACCTCAAGCCCCTCAACTGTGTCTCTATATCCAGATTGCAAATATTCTTTGGTGAGAGTTTCCTCAGAGCAATTTGGTGTTTGAGGGTTAAAGTCTGGCGGTCCAAGCCTGAGATTAGATGGAAGTATCTATACTTAAAACTTATACAGCTATATAATAATAAGGAAATATAGCAAAAGTAAATACTGCAAAGTTTGTATTATGACCACCTTAATAATGTAGAATAACAAGATATAAAAGAAAATGCCAACAATGGCATCCCACTAGTGTATCCGCAAATCTTTTGACATTACAGTATAAATACAATTTACTCCAGAAAAATTTAGGATGCCTATTGTTTGTGAACTAACAAAAGTTGACATGGATGAATTACCTAGAGTTCAGGGGCTCTTTATCACACTTCAACTTGTACAGGTTAAATGGCGGTAGTGGTGGTTGTGGTTGTCGCCTGAAATCACAAAACAAGTGTGTTGAAAGTGATTAACAGCATCAGATAATTGATTTAGCATAACAATACAGGAAACACACACAGACTATTTTATTATAGAGTGTCAAATTAAACGAACTCTTCAAAACTAAAACAGCCGCTGCAAATTTTCTATATTACATTAATGGAATGTTTCAAATGCTACGTTAACATAAAGTGAGACCACAAATTTTACTAACTGATGATTGACTAGAAATATAACTTCCCTGTTCATGATATAAAAATTTCACAAACCTATCTTACAGCATCGGGGTTTGGGTGATTAAATAATTTATAAAAATGAGTAACGGTTTTAAAATCTCTATTATATCTTCAGTCATAAAAAAAATAGCTTCTAGAAAAGAAGAAAAAAAAAACACCCCAACCCCAAATAATGGGCTTCATCCTTTCATGTTTAACACAATTCTGAAGCTATGATACTTTGGGTTAATGGCATCATTAACAAAAAGTGGTTTTGCCAAAAAGAAAAAACAAGAGTGGTCATAATTTAAAAATAAAAGGTTTTGTTTATTCAAATGATAGAACAAACAAATAATATAACACACTATATATATACATATATACAAACTCAAGCAAACTTGCTACCATTGTTTGACTTTATATGGAAATCATGGACTATTAGTATTACTATTACCCCTAACTTTTAAGTCAAAACACTATTTCAGACAGTACTTTCAATTCTAAAATGAAAAAACCAAAGATGCTTCAGAGAGATCTCTATGACACAAGATAATTAATTCAGCCAAAAATATTTATTAGATTCAGCAAAATAAAGCATTGAATTTCAGGAAGGAAAATCCCATATGAGCTACCATTATCTTCACTTATTAAATAACAAATATGGGGCATAAATACTTGAACTATTCCTACAAATTATAGTGAACAATCTCTAGTTAAAACACTAAGGCGCTGTGTTGAAAAAATAACAGAACCAAAGATGAAAACAGGTTTGATGCTTAACCATTATACAGTGTTGCATCCTGTAATAGATAATACAGTATTATGATTACTCGAGAAAAATGAATCAACTCTAGTAGTTTTCAAGGTTCAGAATGACATCAACTAAAGAAAATCAATCACTATTGCAAGTTAATAGCTGACAGAGATGCATGAGAAGTTGTATCACAATTCACAACCACAACAATTCAGAATAGGCAGTACATTATCGCACGTGGAACATTCACAATCAAAATTTAATAAGATTTTCTAAAAGGACAGGGTCAGTAGAAAGTATCTTACCTTGAACTTACAGGAAAGTTGGTTGGCAAGGAAGATGAATCAATTCTCCCAAGGTCCCTAGCCGATGGGCCACCAATTGAACTGTTATTAACTGCACTAGTGCAGCTGCCAGCATGATACCTTTGCATTTCCCCCCAACTATAACCGGCATACTGCCCTCAGCATCAAGCCACTACAAGTAGCAGTGCTAGCTCAACTGCTTCATTGATAATACTATCTATGCCATTTCCAACCAAGGCAAATAAGAAGCTAAAAATACAATGAAAAACTGTAGCAGATAGAACTAAAAAACGGCATATAAAATGTAGTAAATACAGCAAATGACCTACTTGCCAAATCTATGCCTCATCGAACTGCCTTCAGCTTCTAAAAAAAAGCACTAATATCCTAATGCCCCAAAAACTATATACCTTGATCTTGAGACCCGATTTGTGGGCCCCAAACGTATAATGCAGAGCGCTACTATTCTGACCTGCATCACAATAAGAATGACAATTTTTTTATAAATAAAAAATCCAATGAAATCACCCCAAGAAGAACCGTCAAGAAACACCAAGTTTGCATCAGAAGAGTGCAACTCAGAGGCAATGAGCATGTTCTAACAAATAAAATAAAAAATATACTCTAGTCTAAATACTAATAGTGTACTTGAAATACAAGGAATACAAAATATTCTGAAGAGTGGAAAATAAAAGAAAATGAGATCCCAAACTCTTGCCTGCGCTGAATCCACTTTAAATACAAATGCATCTTTTCCTATCAACTAACACAAACATGATCCCACCAATTATACAAGTGGATAGAACTACGGACATTGAAACAGAATTTAACCATTGCAATTGGAACATTCCATTAGAATAAAAATATTAACAAGCGACAAAGTTCAACAAAAACCTAGAAGAAAAAGCAGCTACAGCTATAAGAAATGCCACTCAAAGATTTGTGGCAATCATTTTATAGTGACAAGAATCGTGTCTTCAGGTCTTGAACCATATACATGATACATTATAACAGAAATGCTGTTATTTGAAATTTATCTTCCCTAATGAAGCTAAAATGGCAGCAAAATGAAAGGGGCAAAAGTTAAAGAGACAACCCACCAGCTGAATCGTTGAAAGATCTCAACTTTATCACCAAATCCAATCTAAAATCTACAAAACCAAATCTAATGCAAGAAAAAAGGTTTCAGAATTCGAGAGCTCTAAAGCGCGATCCAAAAGCTAGGGTTTTTTTCAGGACGAAATTCAGATCACTATTTTCCTATTCCCCCAGCTTCGGAACTGGAGCAAATTGTATAGTTGAAAATTGGGGATATTGAAGCGCAAACAAAACTAGGGTTTTTGATTGAGACAATTTCCGAAGAACAGAACAAAGGGATTTTTCGATAAAAATATATATAAATAAATAATGGGAAATTTAATGGAAACAAAATTTTGAAGATTTAGAAAGGGAAAGTTTTGAGGGCATACCTGGAAAGAAAATTTTGCAACTTTGACAGAAAAAAAATGTGTAAGAAAATAGAAGAAAGAGGGTTCTTTCCTTGGGGTGCTACGAGGGCTTTGACCTTTTTCTTTTCTTTATTTTATTTTGGTTGTGATGAAGATTACTTTGTTATTTTCTCTAAATATTAGTAAATACTAGTATAAAATTATAAATTTTTTAATTTATTTTACATTAAACTTTAATTGAAAATTTTATCATTCATAAAAGGAGATGGTTAGGTTGTTGACGTTTAACGAAATATTTTGGTGAGTTTCTTTGACATGGATCAATTATGTAATAATGTGAATGTTATGTCATTATTTGTAAGGAGTGTGTTATAACTTGAGTGCAATGTTCAAAAAGCAAGGGTCATTGCATTGCCGTCTAGATGCACTAAAAAATAATTAAGGATTTTCACATTTTTGTGAAAGAGAGTGAAGAAGTTAGTTCGTGAGAATATGATTCATTTTGGAACATGGAGCTTAACACACTTATTTGAAAATATAATGAAATAGTGAACGATGTGGTTAGAAAAAATACCAATTTCATGTGCCTACAAGAAATTAAATGGACGGTTGAAAAGGCGAAAGATTTAGATAGCTTGGGATTTAAGCATTGGTAGACATAAAGTGGAATAAGGATGTTCGGTGAGAAAAAAGTAGGAGATTTGAGTATAACTATGATATTTGTAATGGAAGAAGACTTCTTTAATGTCATTAGATGCACCTCGTGTTAGGTTAGCATAACATCTTAAAGTAAAAATTTGGGAGGATTTAGAAGATCTAGTTTGGGAACATATCAAGAGGTTTTAAGGACATGCACATGGTATGGTCTTGGAGAGGCTAATGATGAGGGTAAATCCATCCTATATTTTTCGCCGGTTTTTGATCTTGCCATAGCTAGTACATGCTTTAGGAAAATAAATGTGCATCTTTTCACATATAAGGGTGAGGTGACTTGTTCTCATATAGACTTATTTCTTATTAAGATGTTAGACAAAAGGATTTTCCTATAGTGTAAAGGTATTACCTAGAGATAGATTTAGTATCCAACAAAGAGTTTTTATTATGGATGTAAGAGTTAAGATATAAGTGAATAGAATAAGTCACATGGGAGCTCCACGAATCAAGTGATAGCATTTTAAGAAAGAGAAATAAAAGACTTTCCAACACAAAATCTTAAAGGGTGGTTCGTATAGCTGCAACAAAGTGTGAATTATATATGGAACAACATGGCACAAGAGATTCAAATTTAAGAGATGTTGGGAGAATCAAGATATTTTATACATGTATGTTTATTGACTTGGAAAGGACATATGATATAATTCCTACATAGATTTTATGAAAATTCCTATAGAAGAAAAGAGTTAGAGTTGCATGTATTTGAGATGTCCAATATATGTATAAGGGTGTACTGGTCAAAAAGTAAAAGTGTGGGTGTTCCCCTATAAAGTTCAGGAGTCTTAGAGGCCTTAGTAGGTTTATAACGTTCTATGATGGTTAGGATTTTCCGACTACAGTGAGAAATCTTGTACGGTAGTGTTTTACGGTGGATTTATGAGTCTTACTCGTGTGAGGCTAGATGCTCTGTAGACGAATGATGTACTTAGGTATAAGATTTTGAGGGGTTAATTGATATGAGGTAAGTGTTATATTTTTGGGGGTGTAATGATATATATGGCTTAATATTTATCATTTTCTCCCCCTTAAGGAGATAAATATTTATAGAGGCTCATTTGAGGTCTAGGGTTTGGATAACCCTGGATGGAGGCGACCCCCCCCCCTAATCAGAAGAGGTTATTGATCACCTATCCTTCAGGAGTAGTAGGGGATTCCATATCACTAGACTAATATAGTTACATGTTGTTGGTACTCATAGGCGAGTCATCAAGGTATTGTCTGGGCGGTGCTGTTTTTTTGGTGAGGACGTCCTAATTTAGGACCTTCACAAATACAATAACATATAACCCCTCAAGCACGAGGAATTAGTTAAGGACAAAGTGTTTTTAAGACATTATCTATGTTCAAGACGTACCTCTCACCCTAGTACTGAGTCAGTGGGTTAGTGGTGCTCTTGAAAATAGGTGAGTTCCTAAGCCTAGGGCGAGACCCTTTGTTCAAAGCAACTATATCCATTATGGGTGAGTCCCTCAGCCTAAGGCGGGTCCCTCGACTGAAGGCAATTATATTTACAAGTGAGTCCCTGGGGCTGGGGCGAGCCTTTCAACTGAAGGTGGCTATATTTACAGGCAGTATCTTAGCATGTGGCTAGTCCCTCAGTTGAAGGCAACTTTCATTTTAGCGAATGGACTAGATGGATTTATCATATTTTAGGTTAGACCCTTGAGACGTCAAAACGTAGATCACTACTAAAAGCTTGGGTGTTTTAGTGGGAAAAGAGCATGACTTTTGGTGATGGAGCAAAAGGAGAAATCAAAGGTGTTGGCAAGCTTGACTGTTCAGGAGTTCCTAAGCTTGATAATGTGTTACTTTTAAAAGGGTTAGCAGCTAACCTGATAAGTATAAGCCAACTATGTGATCAAGGATTCAAAGTTAACTTCTCCAAAGAAGAATATCTTATGTGCAATGAAAAGAATGAAGTTATCATGAAAGGAATCAGATTTAAAGACAATTGTTATTGATGGGTACCTAAAGAGTTAAACTTTTCCTCAATATGTGTTTTAGCTAAAGAGAATGAAGTTAAACTATGGCATCAAAAATTGGGGAACTTTTATCTAAAAGGTATGAAGAGAATTATATCTGAAGAAGCAACGAGAGGGATTCCTAAGCTCAAGATAGAAGAAGGAAGGGTATGTGGTGATTGTCAAATTGCAAAGCAGACTAAGATGTCATATCAGAAGATTCAACATCTTACTACATCAAAAGTTTTGGAACTTCTTCACATGGACTTGATGGGACCTATGTAGGTTGAAAGTCTTGGTAGTAAGAAGTATGAATATGTTGTTGTAGATGAATTTTCTAGATACACATGGATAAGCTTTATTAGAGAAAAATCAGAATCTTTTGAAGTGTTCAAAGATCTTTGTCAAAAACTTCAAAGGGAAAAGGAAAGTCATGTCATAAGAATAAGAAGTTATCATGGAAAGGAATTTGAGAACAACAAATTTGCTGAGTTTTGCTCCTCTGGAGGAATCAGCCGTGAATTCTCCTCTCCCATTACTCCTCAACATAATGGAATTGTAGAACACAAGAATAGAACTCTCTAAAGGACATGTCTGGGTGTCCCGTTCGAAGGACATGTTTGATGGCCCATTCGACGGACTTGCAAGACATACCTTAAGGCATATTTTGGGGACTCATTCAAGGGGCACAAATTTGGCTCCTTCGAAGGATGCACAAAAGTGACCCATTCGAAAGACACTTGTTAGATGAAAATCAAATAATATTGCTAGAAGAAGGATCTGGTCGAAGGTGGTTAAAAAGAAATATGGAGATATCAAAATATGCTTGCTGCTAAGTTCAAGCCTGATACACTGGCCATAACGCTCCAAAACTGCTGCACAGCAGTCCTGAAACACTGCCCCTTTCTTGCACCAAAATGGCATACGAACATTTCCCCTTGAAAGTTATAAAAAACAGTTTACTCAATTTGTTCAAATTGTTTTATTTTCCCTCTTAAATCTCAGCCAGCTTCGCCTATAAATAAAAGGCTCCATAACATCTAAAGGGGTTGGACAACATATCCAGAGACTTGGGGGCATGAAGAAAAAATCATCAAACTCTCTGTGATACGGTGGAAGAGAACTGACTGTTTTGGAATGCTGGTTCGCGTTTTGCGTTTGTTTTCGCAAAATGTCACGGTAAGCAAGAGTCGCCACCGTCTTTTATTTTATCCAACAAGGAAAGGAAAAAAACACAGAAAAATTCCTTTTTTCGAGATGTTTCTCAAGTCCGGGGGGTAGATTATAGAAAGGAAAGGTGCTAGCACCCTTTCTATCCGTGGTTATCCACGGGCTCTTAGGTACTTGCTCAAAGTATTTTCAAAAATTGCTTTTCTTTGTGTTTGTGGGTTTGAAAGAAGTTTTTGTTTGAAAGGTGTAAGTGCGAAAAGTTTTGTTTTGTTTTAAAAGGAGCAAGTACTTAAGAACCATCTACCTACTCGAAAAGGGAATTAATTTGTGCTAGTGTCCTTTAGACAATGCTATCCCACTATTGATGAGTAGGTAGCGTCGTCGTTGGAGTTTAAGGGTCAATTTGATTAAGGGACGTATGGTCACTAAAGCAATGTTAGGACGCCTTAGAGGTAACCCTAGTGTCTTAGATCATTTTTCCGAGGCAACGGTTTCGAGGCAACTATGATCTTTGGACAAGAGGGCGACCTCTAAAACTTCTTATACTCAATGACCACGTTCGAAGGCAACCAAGTGAGGTGTACCCTAAGAGTGCGCATGTGCGAGTGTGTTATTTCGGTTAATTTCTTTTGTACATGTCATGGGTGAGCTATGTTGATTTTAAGTTCATACATTCGATCTTGTCATGCATTCCCTATTATCAAACATCTAACAATTTATAGATTGCGGAAAGTAAATTGCGGAAATTAAGTCTAAACTATTACAAGGCGTCGGGTATTTACATCGCCAAAAACAACCCTTGAAATTAAATTGCGGAAAATAAAAGAAAGCGATAAAATAATTAAAGTCCTATTTAAAGCTATTACATTCCGGAAGCAAGTACAATAATATGAAAATATGGATCGCGTGCGAGAAAATTAAATCGGGCGCATTTTTTAGGGTTTTGACCCTTTTATGAAAGAGAACATTTTTTGGTTGTTTTTGAATTAAAAAAGAATTAAATCTAAATTAACAATTAAATTAATTAATTAATTAATTAAAAGATTTTTTGGATTTTTGGATATTTAAAGAAATAAAATAAATTTGATTAAAGTTAATAAAACTTAATATTCTACATTAATTTTATTTATTGCAAAAAATATTAAAAGTTATACCTAATTAAAAACTAAGTTAATTAATTAATTTGTTTACAAAAATAAAATGATGAATTTAATTTTAATAAATAAAATATATTTTTGTGTTTTTGATTTTATTAAGAAAAAGATTAATTGGTTAGTGAAATTATAAAAAATAAATAAACAATATAAATAAATAAATAAAAAGACAAAAGAGAGAAATAGAACTCAGGGGGTATGGGCCCAAATCTGGAGGTGAAAATTGCAATTGTTTGGCCCATTTGCTGCAAGCCTAGTTGACTTTTCTGGATCCCACGTATGCACTTTGACTAGGTCTTATGATGGACTTTCACTCTAGGCCACCAGATCTGGCCTGGGGCCATCTGGCAACCATCTGGATGAGGACACATGATATGCTACGCTTTGGACATTGCATGGAATCACCTGTTGGAAAATAAAACAAATACATTTGGGGGACCTGAGATTCGAACTCAGGTCCCGTTGGTACTTGAACACCTGCCTTAGCCACTGAGCCAATACGCTTATATTGTTAGTGGATTAGGTATCAAATATTATATGGGAAAACAATTATTATGCCTGAAATAAAAAAAACAAGCGCGAAATATTTGAACGGGCCAATTGGATGGGGACACGTCTTCGTCCCTGTCCTTGGAATTATACAGAGATTACCTGCGGATTTATATCCGCAGCTGAATCCCTAGATCGAACCTAAAACCAAATCCAGGCCATGAAAATTCAATCTAAGACCAGGGTCTTGTTCGTCTCTCCCTCCTGAACACATCCATGTCCATTATTGGTCTTGATTTCACCTGTAGAGAAAATGCCCAAAAACGAATACCAAGAACCCTAGAATCGGTTAGGGGGTTACAGGCCATGAAAATGCAATTCAATAACGCCAAAAGCTTCTAAATGGAACGAAAGGCATGAATATGCAAAGATTTTGGCAAAAAGGTGCAAGAATAAGAAGATGCGTTTTCAACTGAAAGGTGAGTTTCAGAGAGACTTACAGCGCTATTTGGATGATGTAATGGCCTGATTTTGATTGCTTTAGACTCAATGGACGTCCAGCAAGAAGTCTACGTTGAGATTTGACCTTGAATATGCCTCTAGAATGGATTTCAGTTTCAAGCTTTTTTGCCTTTTTTCAAGTTTTTGTCTTTGTGATTTAGCAGCCTCCAGCCCTTGAACTCGTATGCTTTGTGTTGTATATGTAACATGGGATGAATTAGGTCAGGTTTTGGGCTTTGAATCCCTGTGCATTGATGATTGAAGATGTGATATGATCCTCCATTAAAAAGCTTCCAATTTCATTCCAAATCCAATATTTTGTGCATGATATAGTTTGATACGAGTTTGATTGTGTACATGATGATATTTAAGACCTGTACCAATCAAAAAGATACCAAGTTATCAATTTTTAGATTTTATTTAGATTTAAATTTATTTAAAATGAATTAATTCAATAAAAATCAAATAAAATAGAAAAATTAATGAATGGACATAAGACTGAAGATAGGACACGTGTGTAGTGTGACAAGATCAAATCAAGTGGAAAAAAGTGGGGCCATTTGACAAAATTTGAAGTTTTGGGGATAGTTGACTTTTGGCAATTTTGGAAAAATACCCAACTTCAACAATGCATAACTTCTTCAATTTTGAGCTTTTGGAGGTGTTCTTGGAATTTTTAGAAACCTTGAGATGTCCTCTAACCAACCCTTTTGGTATCATCTCATTTTGATATTCCATGCTCAAGTTATAAGCTTTGGCAAAAAAGGTGTTTTTGTTGACTTCCAAAAATGACCTATAATGTCCAAATTTGTAACTTTTTGTGAGTGCATTTCTTGATATTGGGTTGTGAATATGGATTTTAGGAAATTGAATCCTCTTCAAAATGAGTTTTGTATGGGTCATTTCTCATAAAGTATGAGAAAGTTATGCTTGGTCAAAGTTGAGTTGACTTTTCCTACAAAACCCTAATTTAGCAACTTTTGAGTCTTGATGAATTTTGAGCAATCCTTGATGGATCATGATCAACCCTTGATAAAATGATGAATTATCCTTCAAAATGAGAATGTTGACAAAAAAAAATTGAAGTTTGACTGTTTATAGGTCACAGTTGACTTTTGCCATAACACAGTCGATTTTTGGACTTCTTGAGCAATTGACTGACCAAACTTCCTCTGCAAGG